TAAATTATCAACTCTTTGAAAGTCATTGTAAAAGGGAAGGTTTTGTGGAAAATAAAGATTAATATTAAAACCTGTACAAAAACCATTGAGCTGAAGTTGAGACCAGAAATAAGATTTCCAAACCGATTTTTGTTTACTTATTTCATTCATTTTAAACCAAGGGACATCTTAGGTTAGTCATTATACATCTGTATTTTAATCCACTTTTGAGGTATTTTTTTTTAATAGGTACCAATGAAGCAGCTCTTCATAAAAATTCTCTAGGGATGAGAGGGAAGTCCAAGAGAGAGGGGATACATGTATGCTGATGGCTGATTTGTGCTGTTTGGCAGAAACCAACACAAAATTGTAAAGAAATTACCCTGCAAATTAAAAATCAATTTTAAAAAGTTGATAACATACTCTTTAGTAACTTATGGAATCTTGAAGCACAGTATAATTTTTAGAAAAATAAAATTTCTACTTTCAAAATTAAATAAAAATTTTAAGAGTTCTCTAAAATTTTCCAATTGAGAAGTTTCCCCAGTTTAAGGATTTACTGATGAGTAGTATTTTAATAGCAATTCATACCAATAGAGATGCAAGAGGTATCCGCACACGATAGTGCAAACGATGTGGCTTTCATAACCTCTAGAAACCTTAGTCTCAATAAATAGACTAAGAAAGTAAAATGTCTCTTTTATACAGCTGATGAAACAAAGCTTAAGTTGACAAAGGTCTCTGAAAGTTGGCATAGAATCCCAGTTTATCAGACTGATTGTCAGATGAACAACATATGTGAAACTTCCTAATGGCAGTGACCAAGATATCAATACTCAGGGGGGAAAAAAATACCTAAGATCAGGTAGAAAAATTACATCTCAAAGAAACAGGATGATAAATGCAAGTTACTCCTCGAAGTAACTTGCATTTTTTTTCTTTTTCTTCTGTAAGATTAGAATTCTGAAAATATATTTTATCAAGCTGGCTTTTCCTAAGTATGTGCAAAACTATCAAATTTGGAATATCAAAAGAACCCCATTTGGTCCTCTGTTGTCATTGTCCTGGATAAAATTTATCTCCAACACTTAAACTTGTGTCTTTCTCTGATTTTCTTTGGCACAGCTCGAAAAGATGATGACTGCTCAGGCAGGAAAAGTTCTTCTGAATATCCCCAGATTCTCACATACCCAAGAATGACAAACTTGGAGTCTGGTCACTGTTGTAGACTTCCATATCAGCTGATGGGTTTTCTTCAGAGAATTATTTATAATTTTTTTTTTTAATTTTTGGCTGTGCTCAGTCTTTGTTGCTGTGTGGGCTTTCCCTAGTTGTGGTGAATGGGGGCAACTATTTATGGTAGGGCTTGGTTTCCTCCTTGTGGTGGCTTCTCTTGTTCTTTTTAATGGCTGGATAATATTCCATTATACACACACACACACAACTCATCTTCTTTTTCCATTTTTTTGTTGATGAATATCTAGGCTGTTTCCATTCTTGGCTATTGTAAATAATACTATGAATATAACTATGAGTATATCTTTTTGAATAATAGGCTTTTCTGGATATTTGCTCAGAAGTGAGATTGCTAGACCATGTAACAATTCTATCTTTAGTTTTTGGAGGTGCCACCATACTGTTTTCCATAGTGGTTGCACCAATTTACATTCCCACCAACAGTGTAAGAGGCTTCCCTTTTCATCACACACTCCCTAGGATTATTAAGTAGTTTAAAATTCCCTTTTATTTATTACTTGACTGGAGATGCTAACTACAAGGAGATGAAAGGTGAGCCTTTAGAACAGTGCCCCTTTTGAATTTCATAGAAGCTGTGATCCCATAGAGACATTCCTAACTTAGACATCTCAATTTCCAAATTTCAACTAATATCACACTAAGCCTCTCTGACTGTTGTTTCCAACATTTAGGTTTCCTGGCAACTTGGGGGAGTCCTTCTGATCCTGTCAGCTAATTATTCTCTGCACAGACGGGCAGTTTCCTCTACTTGGCAGTGATCTTGGTTCAACAGCTTACACATAGGGAAAATATGAATGAAGTTTAGGTTTTCTCTTAAGGCTATCTGAAGGAATGAATAAAAAGTGTCTGCATGGTTGCTCACCCAGTTTCTGTTCAATAACAGAGATGTTTATGCTTATTGTTGTTACTAATCTCAATCTAATTGCAGGTTATTTATAAAAGGGATTGATGGCCTAGGATTTAAAATGTCACAAATAGAATCCAGTTAAAACCTACTCCATGTAAAGGCCATTTATATAAATGAGAGAAATATGGTGAAAGTGATCTTCCTGAAAGTGACCAAGACTGAGAATACCCTTCAGAGTGTCTTCACCTTGGTGGCCATGGATGTTAAGAATAATTTGGGCATCAAATTACTGGGGTGGGTGTTAGGCATGGAAAATTCTTAAAGGTGGACAAAGGGTCTCCCTTTATGTGTGGCCATGGACTTCAAAGAAACCTTTGTATGATGCAGCCTAAAGTGGGAATCATACCTGAGTGTTGTAGAACACTAAACACCAAGAAGTGTTTACATATTTCATGCAGAAAAGGTGTTGGCATTTATGAAGAGAAAGACAGAAATTTATTTCTGTGCCTAACAGTGTCACTTTGATCAGAATCTGTGTTGAACATAGCTAGTTATGAGGAAACAGTAATGATCTAAATGAACTAGGGAAGGGGCCAATGAAATTATGGTTTGTTTGGCTTCTGCTCCAGGATTCTTGCCTGGAAAATCCCATGGATAGAGGAGCCTGGCGGGCTACAGTTCATGGGGTCCTAAAGAGTTGGACACGACTGAAGTGACTTAGCATGCAAACACACGCACCCCTGAAAAATGGCTGGGAAATTTGCTATTTGAAAACTGTCCTCCATGAAAAAAAATAAATAAATAAGTAAGTAAACAAACCTCAGCTGGTAGCCCTTGCCCCTGGATGACAGGGTTATTTGGAGATGAACAAGGCTTATTTCTTCTCTGGCTCCAAGTTCCCAAAGAACTCACAGTGCCCACCTTTAGTGCCTCTAAGTCTTGGAAATATCTGATTCCAGTATTCACACCCGTTCCTCTTCTCACATCTTAGATTTAATCTTTTCTTACAGTTGGTTGGGCTGATCTCAATTTTTTGGGAAAAAAAATCTTAGATGATGACAGTGTCTCCTCTAAACCATTCTCTTTTACTATGTTTCTTTAGTTTATTTTATTTATTTTTGTTTCCCTGAGTCATCATTTCTCTGGGGGCTTTTCTCTATTTGTGTTGCAAAGGGGCTACTTTCTAGTTGCTGTGCATGGGCTTATTGTGATAGTTTCTCACTGCGGTAAATTCTCTTGTTGTGGAGCACAGGCTCAATAGTTGTGGCACATGGACTGAATTGCCCTGTGTCATGAGATCTTCCCCAACCAGGGATCAAATCTGTGTATCCTGCATTGGTGGTCAGATTCTTCACCAATGAGTCACAGGGAAGCCCTCTTTTACTATCTTAATACCACCTAGAGCAATGTCTTTAAATTTCCTTGTTTAAAAAAAAATAGAAATAAAAAGGAAAACTTATCATGTTGTCTCTTTAGGGATGCCCAGCTGCAAACTTTCCAAACCCCTCTTATTCTCACTGAGATTTTGACCTGTCCATCTTCAGAGAAGGGACATCCGCAAAGCTCTTCCTGGCTGCCTGAATAGGCTCACAATCTCCTGGGTTTCCCACATAACTCCTGAGTGAAAAGCTGATACAGGGATGAGTGTATTTTGTTTTCTTTTATAACATACCACTGTTTTCATGAGACTGTTTTAATCATGGACTTATTGCTCATTTTGATTTGACCAAAGTTCCCCCAACAATGTTTCTGTCAACTTTTTTTTTTTTCTTGTTCAGTGGCAGGAACCAACAATCCCCTTCCTGTCTGACACCCAAGAATATAACTGTCCATATCGGTAGAATTCATTCAGTATTAGAGAAGTGAATCTGTGAGTAGGTCCTGGATCACCCAGGCACAAAATCATTCTTTTTATTTCCTGAATGTGTATCTATTTCAATCAACTACTCTACAGAAATATGATGATCCAATCAGGATAAATCCAATGGGTCCTCTATAATCTAATCAAGCAGCCCTTTCTGATTGTATTAACAAATGGGACAGAGGGGTTATAAGGGTAAAAAAGGTATATAAAAGTCTGAAGCACCGGAGAGGAGATGCAAAATCTTCCTGCTCTGGAGACACCAGCTGAGTTCTCCACAGAGTCTGAGGTCTGAGCACCCCGCCAGCCACCTCACACCATCATAAAAGAATACCCTTTCCTTCCCCACAGTTAGCTACTCTTGAAGAGTGACTTATAGTTCTGGATGGCAGGGAGAGTTTTCAAAACTTTATTTCTTTCTGATGAACCCATTTCAGGTTTTGGTTTTGGCTCTCAGTGTAGTTTTGCCTGAATCTCAAACATTTTCATTAGTGCTTTAGCTGGTATCATTTTTTTAAGTCTTTACCCAGCAGATATTTAAAATATCTGTTTGGAGTTTTGTTTCATGAAATTTCAGATACACATTTTTTTACACAAATGGAATTCATGTTAGGGGAAACTAAGGATGGAGGCTGTGTGGGTCCCAATGACCTTCCTCTTCTCATAGACTGAGGGCTCCAAGTGGTGGTCTGACATATTCCACTCATAAACGCTGGAGAGAGCTTTCAGGCTCCTTGCTACTCACATCCAAGTGGGACATGAATTAAGCAAAGCACTGGATGGAATGGAAATGGCTAATGGTTGCTTTTCCCCCTCATTTATACTTGTGAGAGGCTTGTTCTGTATTCAGTAGGGAAAGAGTCATAACTTTGTTGAGGTCTGAATGTCATATGGTCTAATTGAAGCACTCCCACCACTGCCAGAGCTGAGACCTCAGTCCCAAGTAGATTTCTCTGAAGGGTTGGGAGATTGTCTTAGATGTGTTCCTCTTTGGCTTAACATGGATGCTTTGTTCCTTAGCAGTTTCCACAGGACTGCTTTTGAAGCAGAGTCAGGATGAGTGTCCTGACCCCACCCAGACTCTTGGACCTGGCTGGAATGCACCTGCTCAGGGAAGATGCTTTGGTCTGTTCTGCTCTGGAGTTTCTGCCCACAGAGCTCTTCCCACCCCTCTTCATGGACGCCTTCCATGGGAGACACATCAAGACCCTAAAGGCCATGGTGCAAGCCTGGCCCTTTGTCTGCCTGCCTCTGGGGGGCCTCATTGACCTGCCTCATGTGGGGCCCCTACAAGCAGTGCTGGAAGCACTTGATGTCCTACTTGCCCAGAAGGTTCGGTTCAGGTGAGTCAGATCCAGGTAGCATGATAGGGTTCTGGGCATCCTGGAAGAGACATCTGGGGTGGGCTAAGTGGATGGCCAATGGATGGGCCAGAGGGTTGTGAGGATGGCAGTGAAGAAGCTCAGAGGCCTTGGCTCACTATGGGAAATACTTTACTGATGTGGAAATGTGCCTACAATGAAAGCGGGATTGAAAGAACATGCCCCAACTCCTTCCTATGATGCTTAATCCCACTAGAAGTGGGGAACTAGAAAGGAGAAGAGGAGAAAGGGAGTTGGAGGAAAGAGGCAGAAGAGGGCAAGGCAGCAGGTGATGAGATATGTGAAATAAAAGCACGGTGGGCAGTCAGTTGTCAAATTCTGAGACTGTGGTTGCATTCTGTGTGGAGTTTAATGCATCCCTGTTCATCTCTGTCCTTATAGGAGGTGCAAACTGCGGGTGCTAGATTTGTGGAATACTGGCCAGAGCTTCTGGAGCATGTGGTCTGGAGCCAGCACCCATGGGTTCTCAAGCTTAGGAAGGGCACCAGTGGCTGAGCAGAGCTCAAGGACCCACCAGCCCTTGGCTCCCCTGAAGATATACATAGAGCTTTGCCTGAAGAAAAGGACATTGGATAACTTCCTCACCTACCTCCTCAGGTGGATGGAGCAGAGAAAAGCTTCTGTACACCTCTGCTGTAAGAAGCTGACCATCTTTGCAATGCCCGTGGAAAATATCACGAAGGTCCTGAATATGGTGCAGCTGGACTGTGTCCAGGAGTTGCAAGTGAATTGGATTTGGCATCTGTCCACCCTGGCCAAGTTTGCTCCTCTCCTGGGTCAGATGAGCAACATGCAGAGACTCCATCTCTCCTGCATTCACATGTCTGCCCACGAGGAGCAGGAGCAGCAGGAACAGCAAGTTGTCCAATTTACCTCTCAGTTTCTCAAGCTGCACCATCTCCAGGATCTCTATCTAGACTCTCCCTCCTTCCTTGAAGGCTGCCTGGACCAGATGCTCAGGTGAGTGTGGAACATTAACTGTTAACAGTGAACACAATATTGGCAAGTCAAGCACACTAGGTTCTTTGCTGCTCTATCCTGAGCTGTGGTTTCATCATCACCGAAATCAAGGTAGAGGAACAGGGCCACCATACCAGAAAGCTATGGATATGGTTGCTTGGATCCAGTGAGGATGGGGTGGGTTCTTCCTTAGGAAGGGAAAACTATGTCAGATAACTTAGTAAAAGAGGTAGGTTAAGAGGGCATTAAAGAAGGGAAACCACCTCAGACTTGAGCAGTTTCAAAAAGATGGTCTGGGGATTTCCCTGATGGTCCAGTGTTTAGGACTCTGCTATTTCAGTGTTGAATACTCAGGTTTGATCCCTGGTGGGGGAAGCAAGGTTGCATACGTGGCATATGTGGTACAGCCAGAAAAAAGAAAGTGAGAGAGAGAGAGAGACAGAGAGAAGAGGTCTGAACACAATGAGCTTGTCTCAAATGGCTAGTCCCTAAAGTGTTATCTTTTGCTCCAATCAAGTTAGTTAATATTTAAGATATGCATGATTCTGAGAGGATGGTAGTGAAGCATAACCAGAGATCATACAAAGCTGCAGGTGGTTTGCAGGTGATGCAGAGATGAAATGTCAGCTAAAAGGAGACTAGTAATTCTGGGTACTGATGCAGTTAGTAGGACCTTGTCTTTGTGCAAATCACCTATCTGACAACTTTAGCTCAGCTGCTACCTTGCTTTCTCAGACCTAATTGCTTCTTTTTCTCCCCAGATTTCTGAGGACCCCCTTGGATCACCTGGCAATAACTAACTGCCAGCTTACCGAATCAGACCTGACCCATCTGTCCCAGTGCCCGAACATCCATCAGCTCAAAGGCCTGGATCTGAGTGGGGTCACCATGACTGACTTTAGTCCTGAGATCCTCCACATTCTTCTGGAGCAAGTTGCAGCCACCTTCCAGGAACTGAACTTAGAGCAATGTGGGATCACAGAGTCCCAACTTGAGTCCATCCTGCCTGTTCTGAGCTGCTGTTCCCAGCTCATGACCTTCAGTTTGTGTGGTAATGTCCTCTCTATGGCCATCATGGAGAAGCTGCTGAGTCACACCACTGGGCTGATCAACTTAAGTGAGGAGTTTTACCCTGCCCCTCAGGAGAGTTACAGCCCTCATGGAGCCCTCCACCTGGGCCGACTGGCCCAACTTCGGGATAAACTCATTGAGATTATGCGGGATTTAGGACATCCAAGTGCCATCTGGCTTAGCTCCATCCCATGTCCTTGCTGGGGCAATAAGACATTCTCTCCTGAGGATCTCTTTCTGTGCCACTGTTACATGTCTGCCTAGTTGGATGAATCTGTCAAAGCTTTCTTATGAGCACTTGGAAACTAAACTCTAGACAGTAGATGCATCATAAAAGGAAAACTGATCCATGGTTTCAGACATTAGCTCACTATGGATGTGAAAAGGAAAGATAATACAGCAAGGGTGATTGTAGAGAACTGTAGACTCTGGGAGTGATGGGACATTTGGGGATGTGTGTTTATACAGTCAAATATGAACCTATAGTTTTGGAGGTCAATATAGACTTGAGATCCACATGTTGAAGCTTTCCCTGGGTAGATGTTTGTAAAGGAATGATCAGAAATAAAGAGATCCTCAGTGAAGACCAACTGCTGCCTTCCATGATATATTACTCTCTTTTTCAGCTTATACCTCAGAAATCTCCAGTTATTAATTTAGAAAAAGGCACTGAGTAGTCTATGATCCAAAGCCTTATCAATTCTGCACATTGTTTATTCTGTCTGGAGCATCTCTTACCTCTTTGCTTACATCTTTTGCTGTTCAGTAGATTAATAGACAAAGGGGAGCATACTCAGTAAGTTGGTCAGCAAGCCAAATGACAAATCCTGAAACTTGCAGCAGAATCAGTGTTTATTTACAAGGCAGTCACGAGATGAGACAGCAGAACAAATCTGAGACCTATCACTTCAAAGGGAAAGAAGCAGGAGTATTGTAGTAAAGAGTATAGGGAGGTTGCAGGTTCAGGTGAAGGCAGGAAGAATCTGAGGTAACTGTTGCTCTGTGCAGGTTTATCAGAGTTTCATGCCTTTTCATGGAATACACATTCAGAAGATGGTGACATTAGCATGATCTGAGGATAGAGATCTTGGCCTTCTCTTGTAAAAAGGTCATCTCCTGTACACTTATGGAAACCTAGTTGAAAGTTCCATGGTCGGTACTGGAGTGAACTGGGTAAGGCTAGATCCATGTTCTGAAAAAAACTTCAAGAACCATTACCATAGTGACTATATATCCGAGATGTTAAAATAGGTGTGGTTAAGGGAGCCTTGTCATAAACTGTTTAAACTCTGGGATACTTGCAGGGTAATGCAATTTGCTTGAACACTGAAAGTGAGCATGGCAGGTGAAGACAGGATACATTTGTTGTTGTTGTTGTTCAGTAGCTAAGTCATGTCTGACTCCTTCTGACCCCATGGACAGTAGCATGCCAGGCTCCTCTGTCCTTCAGTATCTCCCAGAGTTCATTCAAACTTAGGTCCATTGAGTCAGCGATGCTATCTAACTGTCTCATCCTCTGTCACCCCCTTCTCTTTTTGTCTCAATCTTTCCCAACATCAGGGTCTTTTACAATTAATTGGCTCTTCACATCAGGTGGCCAAAGTATTGGCACTTCAGCAACAGCCCTTCCAGGGAATATTCAGGAATGATTTCCTCTAGGACTGACTGGTTTAATCTCCTGGCAGTCCAAGGGACTCTCAAGAGTCTTCTCCAGCACCACAATTTGAAAGCACCAATTTTTTGGCATTCAGTCTTCCTTATGGTCCAACTCTCACATTCGTGCATGACTACTTGAAAAACCATAACTTGTATGAATCACTGTCAGCAAAGTGATATCTCTGATTTTTAATACTCTGTCTAGGTTTGTCATAGCTTTCCTTTTAAGGAGCAAATGTCTTTTAATTTCATGGCTGCAGTCAATATCCACAGTGATTTTGAAGTCCAAGAAAATAAAATCTGTCACCTCTACCACTTTTTCCTCTTCTATTTACCATGAAGTGATGGGACCAGATGGCACAATCTTGTTTTTTAATGTTGAGTTTCAAGCCAGTTTCTTCACTCTCCTCTTTGACCTTCATCAAGAGAATCTGTTTTTCCTCCTCGATTTCTGTTATTAGAGTGGCATCATCTGTATTTCTGAGGTTGTTGATATTTCTCCTGGAAATCTTGATTCTAGCTTGTGACTCATCCAGCCTGACATTTCACATGATTAAACTCTTCGAAGAAGTTAAATAGGCAGGGTGACAATATGCAGCCTTATCAAGCTCCTTTGCCAATTTTCAACCAGTTAATTGTTCCATGTCAGATTCTAACTGTTGGTTCTAAACCCACATACAGATTTGTCAGAAGACAGGCAAGGTAGTCTGGTACTATCTCTTTCAGAATATTCCATAGTTTGTTGTGATCCACACAGTTGAAAGCTTTAGTCCCGGCAATGAAGCAGAATTCAGTTCGGTTCAGTCAGTCACTCAGCCGTGTCTGACTGTTTGTGACCTCATGGACTGCAGCACGCCAAGCTTCCCTGTCCATCACCAACTCCCGGAGCTTGCTCAAACTCATGTCCATCGAGTCGGTGATGCCATCCAACCATAGGTTGTACCAGTCTAACAGATTTCTTGTTGAAGACAGCTCAGCATGACCAGATACCGAGTGGGCAGTGAGGAATTTTGATCAGATTTTGTTTGTTTGTTTGTTTAGCATCACTGAGTCTTGGTTGTCATGAAGACTTTTCTCTAGCTGTGGTGAGTGGGGGCTACTATCCAGCTACAGGACGCAGGTTTCTCATTGCAGAGGCTTTTCTTGTTGTGAGGTTCAGACTCTAGGGCATGCTGGCTTCAGTAGTTGCAGCCAGCATGAGGGCGCAATAATTGCCTCTCCTGGAACAGGCTCAGTAGTTGTGGCTTACTTGCCCCATGGCATGGGGTACCTTTATGGACCAGGGATCAAACTCATGTTTCCTGCATTGGCAGGCAGATTATTTACCACTGAGTCACCAAGGAAGCCTCTAGATCAGATTTTTGAGGTGATCAGATATCAAGGGTAAATATTCTCCCTGAACTGGCTTAGAATTCTAGTTCAAACTTGATTTTACAACAAAGTTCACAGACAATTGTGGAGGAAGTTTCAGGAGTCTGAATAAATTTTGGTGAAACAGAGAATGTTTCCAGTTGAAGAGACCGTGCTAGGTGGATGGTGCAAACACTGATGTAGTGAAGGGTGTGGCCAACTTGGGAATAGGTGAAGGGAATAGATGCTGGGCAGAGAAGGCACAGGCAGGTCACATGGGATGTGGAATGAAGAGAGGAGCCTTTGAAAGATTTCCGTGATCTGATTAATGCTCTCTCACTCTCTGCAGTTGTTGTATGGAGATGATATTGTCGATGGACAAAGGAACAGGAAAGCAGAGTAGGAAGAGAACGCAACCTGCACCCTGGCTTGGAAAGAACAGTCTTATTGGTCACTCACAGAGGTGGACAGTCACAGGAGTCACCATAGCATTGATAGTTTGCAGGAGGCTTGGGTGTAGGTGTAGGGGAAACAAAGAGAAGAGGATGCTTATTGAAGTGTTGATTGGTCCTTTATGGTGATGGGTTGCTATGAACTAAATGTTTGTTCTCCATGTCCTACTTCCCATACATGCACCTCCACACCCCACAAACTCATATCTGGAAGCCTTAACCCCCAAGGTAATGAATAATGGGATTTGGACATTGGCCTTTAGGCTGTAACTAGTTTTGAATGAGATGGTGAAGGTGAAGCCCCAAGATAGGTTTAGTGCCCTTTAAAGTAAATGAAGTGACCTGTGCTCCCCTTATTTCACCACCATGTGGCAAAACTAGGAACCTGGCTCCCTCCACAACCATACTGTGCTGCCTCCTTGATCTCAGGCTTCCAGCCTCCAGAACTATAAGAAATAAACTTTCTTTATTGAAGCCACCCAGTCCATGATATTTTGTTTTGTTTTCATAGATTGAGTCAACTAAGGCATAATGAATGGGACAGAAACACTGTACAGAAGGCATAAAGGGTGACAATATGCAGCCTTATCAAGCTCCTTTGCCAATTTTCAACCAGTTAATTGTTCCATGTCAGATTCTAACTGTTGGTTCTAAACCCACATACAGATTTGTCAGAAGACAGGCAAGGTAGTCTGGTACTATCTCTTTCAGAATATTCCATAGTTTGTTGTGATCCACACAGTTGAAAGCTTTAGTCCCGGCAATGAAGCAGAATTCAGTTCGGTTCAGTCAGTCACTCAGCCGTGTCTGACTGTTTGTGACCCCATGGACTGCAGCACGCCAAGCTTCCCTGTCCATCACCAACTCCCGGAGCTTGCTCAAACTCATGTCCATCGAGTCGGTGATGCCATCCAACCATCTCATCCTCTGTCATTGCCTTCTCCTCCTGTCTTCAATCTTTCCTAGCATCAGGGTATTTTCAAAAGAGTCAGTTTTTTGAATCAGATGGTGAAAGTATTGGAGTTTCAGTTTCAACTCAGTCCTTCGAATGAATATTCAGGACTGATTTCCTTTAGGATTGACTGGTTTGATCTCCTTGCAGTCCAAGGAACTCTCAAGAGTCTTCTCCAACACCATAGTTCAAAAGCATCAATTCTTTGGCACTCAGCTTTCTTGATAGTCCAACTCTCACATCCGTACATGACTACTGGAAAAACCATAGCTTTGCCTAGACGGACCTTTGTTGGCAAATTAATGTCTCTGCTTTTTAATATGCTGTCTAGGTTTTTCATAGCTTTTCTTCCAAGGAGCAAGCATCTTTTTAATTTCATGGCTGCAGTCACCATCTGCAGTGATTTTGGAGCCCAAGAAAATAAAGTCTCTCACTGTTTCCATTATTTCTTCGTCTATTTGCCATGAAGTGATGGGACCGGATGCCATGATCTTTGTTTTTTGAATATTGAGTTTTAAGCCAGATTTTTCACTCTCCCTTTTCACTTTCATTAAGAAGCTCTTTAGTTTCTCTTCACTTTCTGTCATAATGGTGGTGTCATCTGCATATCTGAGGTTATTGATATTTCTCCTGGCAATCTTGACTCCAGCTTGTGCTTCATCCAGCCCAGCGTTTCTCATGATGTACTCTGCATGTAAGTTAAATAAGCAGGGTGACACTATACAGCCTTGACATACATGTTTCCCAATTTGGAACCAACAGAAGACTTTTTTTCTGAAACTCTCTTGCTTTCTCCATGATACAGTGAATGTTGGCAGTTTGATCTCTGATTCCTCTGCCTCTTAGAAATCCAG